CACAGTTGGTGTTGGAATAACTGGGCACCCGCATGGAAAAATCAATAATGCTCACATACATGTCTCATAAAAATAAGTTCCAGAGGAGTATGGTTGGGTACACTTTATCCCAGCACCTATCAAATAGAGGGTGACAATGAGGAGTTCAAGGCATCCTTTGTTACATAGGCATCAGCCAAGATATGAAACTCTATCTCAAAAACAAACTTAGAACAGCTCTAAAACTTAAGTATTAACTGCAAAAAATCACACAATGCCTAGACAATACCTAGAAGAAAGTCCAGGTGACTGTGGAAATGCCACCTCAAAAGCACAAGCCATGAAAGACAACTAATATGTTGACACCATTGGAATGAAAAACTTCTGTTTTGTAAAGGATGCTGTGAGCAAGTGATGATATAGTTGAGCTGATACAGTGCTTGCCCGGCATTCATGAAGCCCTGGGTTCAGTCCCTACCACTGCATTGACCATGTGTGGTGGCACACACCTGCAACCTGAACACTAGGGATGTGGAAGCAGGAAGATCAGAAATTCAAGATCATCCTTGGCTACAAAGCTAGTTCAAATCCAACCTGAGACACACAACAGCCAGTCTCAAAAGGAAAAGAAAAAAGAAGGTGTGAAGAGAATGAAAAGACAAGCTGCCAACCAGAGGAAAACATTGGCAAAGCACATGTCTGATAAAGAGTTAAAATTCAAAACACACAAAGAGCCCTCATCACTCAGCAATAAGAAAACAAACAACCCAACTGAAAAATGGGCAAAAGTTGTAGAGATATTCCATGAGGAAAGATACAGGTAAAAATAAACATGAAAAAATACTTCATACCAAATGTCATCAGGAGAATGCAAATTCAAACACAGACTGACAAGAGAGCTCAGTGGGCAGAGGTGCTTGCCACGAAGCCTGAGGTTGTGGATTTGACCCCAGGAATCCACATTGTAGAGCAAGAGAACTGGTTCACAAAGGTTTTCCTCTGAGTTCTACATATCTACTATGGTACATGAATCTCTCTCTCTCTCTCTCTCTCTCTCTCTCTCTCTCTCTCTCTCTCTCTCTCTCTCTCCATACACACACATACACACACCACAAAATGAAACAACAGGACACACTTGTGTTAAAATAGACAGAACCCTAAACACCGACATCATCAATTTTGGCAAGGAATGGAGCAACTGGAACCTTCATCCTTGAGGAAGTACAAAATGCTGCAGTCACTGAAGGAGAAGATGGCAGAATTTTACAAAACTAAAAGCACTCTTAACCACCCCCTCCCCAACCCACCCATCTCACTCCAAGGTAAGAATGGAAATGGTAGATCCGTGAGGAGACTTCATACAAATGCTCATTTCTGCCATCATCTCAAACCAGGGAGAATCGAAATGCCCTACAGTAAGGGAATCACCAGATTAGGTGGGCTGCCACCACCATGCACAGAGTGTGTGTCAGCAACCAGAGCAACTGGTCAGAGCAGATGGGATGGGGATTCAGTTCAAACCCCAGGGACCATCCTGCCAGCTGGGTCTGCACTACTGTGCTCGCAGGGTCTTAGGCAGGAAGGCATTATGGAATATGCATGTTCTCCCAGCACAGCTTCCTGGCTCTGCCATCATAGGACAGTCAGGTAGGGGGGACCAATGAGGGAAGATGGGGTAAGCTTGCATGACACCCTTCTCCATACCAGGAATTCAACTTCCTGAGATTCCATCATTTGCTTTTATTTTTTAATATTTTGAGAACAAGTCAAATATAGCTGAGACTGTCCTTAAACTTGAGAAGAAAGAAGTTGAGGGTGATACTGAGCTACTGATCCTCCTGCCTCCCATCTCCCGGGTGCAGTGATTATAGGTGTGTGTGCTCCTAGATCCAGCTTGATAACATTTTAAGGTTTTTTTTCTTCCTTTCCTTCCTTCTTTCTCTCTTTCTTTTTCCTTTTACTCTCAGACGTGAACCTACAAGCACAGGCCTAATGGAAGGTGGCAGCATATCACAAAAAGCCAGAAAGGGTCTCAGGAACAGGACAGTGGAGTTGACAAGGGAGCCTAGGTGTGTCCCCCACTGATGGCATCCCAGTGGAGACATTTTGGTTCTTCTCGAAATGGAGCTGGGAGTTTGTCTGGAGTTTGGAGGAACAGGAAAAAGGAGGGCACCCAGAAATTCCCTAACAGGAAAAAACAATGGACTTTCTCCATCTGAATATTCGGATCTGTACCTTACTTTACCCGTTCCCTTAAAGACTCCCAACTCTCAGCTTCCAACACCAAATATCCCAACCCTGAGTGGAAATGAAGACATGGAGGTATTGAAGAGGACATGGAGAAGCTCCTAGAAGGCTATGGGGCACTCTAAGTCTCCAGCCTTGTCTGAACCCCACACATACCAATCCCCATCTCCTTTTCTTAACTACTATAATCTTTGAGGTTAAATGACTCTCCTGTTCTCAAGGAACTCTGTCTACACCCTGTATCTTATCATTTTGTAGATCCTTCAGAAAGTGCCCAGAATTCAGGAAATCTACCGACCATAAAAGAGATGGTCAGACACTACACTCCATTTTGCATGTTGTTGGAGAATATTCTGTTTCACAAGCACACACTGAATAAAAATCAACCTATCAAGGCAGTTTCTTTTTGCAAAAGAGTGTTTCACCACACAGAGTGAGCAAACATATGAGGCAGGAAGTTCACTTGTTTTTGTGATAACACAGGTCATCCCTCAGCCTTATCTCATTGGTGGAAGCCAGACCTCGGAATTGATGTGATTGGCTAATTTATAATTACTGAGAAAGGGACTAGTGTGATAGGAAGTTGTCTCAGGAGTGTCCAGGGCTTGTCAGACAGCACATCTATGGGGTGTCAAGATGGGGGAGGTTTATGGAATATTGGCCATTGGCAGTTTATCCACCTTTAATAGAGGGGAAAAAATTCTTCCCAAGTGTGTTGACAGGCAAAAGGTGTGTGTGTGTGGGGGGGGGGGATTGGTCTCCATGAGTTTCAGGCCATCCTAGTCTAGTAGCAAATTCCAGGCCAGCTGTTGTGGGGCATTCACCAATGAATACTGGCCAGACATGGGTTAAGCCAATAGAAAGTCTTTATTAGTGGCCTGTGACTACACTGGGTGTTGGAGATCCCAGTGTAACACAGAGCCTTTCTCAGGGTGAGCTTTTAAGCATAAAAACCATGTTCTGGCCAGTGGGTGGTAGCACAAGCTTTTAACCTCAGCATTTGGGAAGCACAGGCAGGCAGATGTCTGCAAGTTCCAGGCAAGCCTGGTCCACAAGGGAGTTCTAGGATAGCCAGAACTGTTATACAGAGAAACCCAGAAAAAAAAAGTAAAAAGATATTCTGGGATTTCTGGGTTGACACACTTCTGTTAACAAGAACAGTTATTCAGAAGCAGAAATACAGAAGTTAAAAAGCAAAGGTAATACATTCTGAGACTTTCCCAGAACTATGGACTTTGATGGATTAGGCTTTTGTTTTAGTTTTAGCAGGTGGTGCTCTCTATGTGCTCAGTTTTACAGCCTGAATGGTACTTCCACCATAGAGTCAGTTGTGATAAGGTCTGGGGCCCTGTTACACAGCCAGGGATATATAGGGATCCTGTCACAGAAAAAACAAAATTCTCACAATGTAAGGAATGGAAAACCAGCCAAGGACAAAAAGGTCTTCAGGGACAAGAAACCATCTTGGAACAAGGTAAATGTTGGGGGTTTGTTGTTGCTTTGTTTTTACTTTTTAATTATTAATTAAATTTATTCATTTATTTTATATCCCAAGTGCAGTTTCCCCTCTCTCCTCTCCTCCCATTCTCTCCCCCCTTCCCCCACGTCCACCCCACCCCACCCCAATCCACTCCTCCTCTATTTCTGCTCAGAAAGGGGCAGGCCTCCCATGGGTGGCAACAAAGCATGGCACATCAAGTTGAGGTAGGACTAAGCTCCTCCCCCTCTATTAGGGCTGGGCAAGGCAGCACAGTATGAGGAATAGGTTCCTGGGGCCAGCATTAGGGACAGGCCCTGCTTCCACCACTAGGTGTCCCACAAGTAGATCAAGATAAATGAGGTTTTAAGAAAATTAAGAACATCAGAGCTAGGTGTGGTAACATGCCTGTAATCACAGCACTCCGAAGGTAGAGGCAGGAAGACCAGGAGTTCAAGGCCATCCTTGACCAGATAGTAAGGCTGAAACCAGCTGGAGCTACTAGAGATTCTGCCTCAATAAAAAACAAGCAACAATAACCCCATCACCCCCCAAAAAAGTAAAATTTGAGCCTGGGTTACTGAGTCGGACCCCCAACACTGCAAAAGAAAAAAAAGCAATAATCACTTTATATTGGAAATTTCAAATGAATACTAGAGTATAAAAATAATGCAGTGGACCTAACACTCAGCAAGTTCTGCCATGTGTCTATAGGAGACTATGGAATGAGATCAAACTTCAGTGGCAACATGCTCAAATAGCATCCACGAGGTCCTGGGTCAATCCTAAGTACCTCAAATGAAGAAAAAGAAAAAAATTTAAAACTTCCTATATCATCTTGAAATACATTTCTTCCCGGGATAGATAGCTAGCTATCGCCAAGTGAACCAAAAATGAGCAGAGGTGATGGTCACAGGGTGCTCATCTGCCAGCTGGGCTGAACAGGAGCTAAGCACCTCTTCAGCCTGCAGGCTGTGACTCTCCCTGCCCTCTGCCTATTCCTAAGGGCACTGGCCATCTGTCAAGCCTCCCAGTAGAGGAAGGCACACACCTGTGTAAGGATGCTCAGACCCTCAGGAAACTGCATGACAGAGTTTCCGCATGTTCCAAAGGCTCTAGTTACCATCTCACTGAATAGAAGGAGCATAGGGACACAGTGGGAGCTGGAGGAGGCTGTCACTCCAGGAGATTAGTGTGTGGTAAGCCAAGAGGTTGGTATCAGGGCTGCTGGAAGGTGACACTTCACCAATATCCCTGAAATCTTTCCAGTTCCACACAGCCTGGAGTGTCCCTGGAATAGGTCTGTCCTCCCCAATAGGAATTCAGCTATCAGTTCCTGATTGCCTGATGGTTCTTGGGCACAGCCACATATCTCAGCTTCTTCATGATGGAGGGCCAGCCCAGCAGCTGCTGGTCCCACATGTACTCTGGGGACAACACCTTTGTAGGCTTGTGGTATAGCAGGTACTTGTTCAGATGGCTCTCATCATGCCACACGGCCTCAATGCCATTGGCCTGGTCCTGCACCATAGCCTTATGGCAGGCCTTGGTGAGATGGTACACCTCCAACACTGACCCCCCAAAGAAGGCCCCCATGTAGTAAAAGTCACCCTCATCCCGGGGAATGTAGGCCTGGGACTGTGGCCGACGCTCATAGCTAAAGGCCTCTCGGCTGCTCCTGTAGAACCCAGGATGCAGGGTACCAAAGAGTGCTGAGAGAATCTCCACACCCACATGGTCACTGAACTTCATGTCCACATCTGCACACACCAGGTAATCCACCTCCTGCAGAAAGCGTCGCTCTGAGAAGTGGCTGATCATCTCCATCCTGTGCATGGACACATCCTGCCAGCGGGTGTAGTTGCGCACAGTTAGCACCACCAGCTTCCGTCCTGCACCCAGGGGCACCTGCGGCACGTCAGCTGGACGGTCAGTGAAGACATAGTAGGTGACCTTGTGTCCCACCATGAAGTGCTGCTCTGCTGTCTCCAGGAACAGCTTCAGGAACACCACATACCTGTGAGGGAGGACAAAGGGGTATGGAGAGCCTTAGTGCAGCTAGGTCAAGACTTGCCAGGGCAGGCCCAGGCTGCAGAATCCATGGCTACCTGGAGGCTTGAAGCAGTGGCATCCCCCATTGTACCCCTGTCCTGACCAGTCTGCAGGCTGTACCTCACCTCACCCTCCTTTGCTGCAGAAGGGTGCAACGTCAGCACCACATCTTAGCAAGGAACCCTGAGGTAGAGGCCTGGAAGATTTCAGCCAGGCAGCAGGTTGAAGTTCCTGCAGGTATCTCTTGTCTTGGCAACACCTCAGCAGGCTAACTCTCCATGTGTCTGTCACCATTCCCCCAATAATGACAGCTCTATTCCAAGACATATTACATACCACATGCTTGCACTGGCCTAAGGAGAACCTGTGCTCACAGGGCCCCACTTTCTAAACCCTGGTGGAACTGGATGGATTTGTAAGGGCCTGGGACCTGCACCCCTCCTTTTGGCACTCTCCAGGGTCTTGTCTCAGGAAAGGGTCTCTATATCCCAGACCTTTCTCCTCAGAAGCTTGTAGGTGCTGTGGACAAGGCACTGAGTTACTCTCTCATATCCTTAAGTCATACCCCATGAACTCCACCAGAGCAAGAATCAGTCTCACAGAGCAGGCAGGGAAAGGGAGACCGATACCCTAGAAAGAAGGGCAAGCCTAAGCCAAACCCTCAGGTTCACGGGCAAAAGGCTTCTACCCCAGGTTCTATGTCATCTCTCAATTCAAGAAGTCTTCATCTGCTTCAGATGGCTGCTCCTACCTTGATGCACCCCAGGGCCACTTGCCCCCACCATGGGAACAGGGATGCCCATCACCTGGCAAGTGTGCCAAGCCCTCCCCACTTCAATGTCAGAAACAGGCAAGTGAATGTTTTCCCTGTGCAAAGGTGGCAATGGGACTCCCAGCTAGTTCCCTCAGAGGCCTTCTTCCCACAGACAGAGCACCTACCCACTCCTGGCAGGGCTCTTGCTCATGTACCCAGCAGCACCCAGACAAGGTAGTGTTTGTGTCCTGTTACTGTGAAGTCCTTTGTCCACAGGAACTGCAGGCATTCTCAAGGTGCCTAAGCTCCTCCAGCTGAGACCCAAACCTCCCTCAAGTCTGATTGATACAAAGGCCTCAGAGCTATCCTTGGATCTCACCCAGAGCTGCAGGGAAGAACAAAGCCCCTTCTCATAGGTGGACAGCACAAATGGCATACCTCAGCCCCCCACAGCCTTCCACACCGTAATGCCACCCTGTCCTGCTCCCCACAGGCTTCCACAGGGCAAGTTGCTTGCCTGTGGCCTAAAGCCAGCCTAACCAGAGTCTCAGGGCTAATCCCTGCCCCCAAGTTTAAGGTTTTATCCAACCCTTTCTTGTCCTGCATGTGAGGACACATCAATGGTCACAGCTCTGTTGGCATCCTACTCCTTCTTGCCAGCCCTGAGGATGAGGATCCACACCTGAAGTGTGTGCTGAGGGTCACAAATGTCATCTGCCTGAGAGCACAGAGGTGGGGAGGCAGTTGGCCTGGGGCTCTGAAAGGAGGTAGGGTTGGGTTCGTTCATCTGTGAGCCCACCAGAGCTCTGGATGTTGGCAAAGTAAACAGACTCCACCCCTGCTGCATCCTAAACACAAGCATGAGCTTGCATTGAGGTATGCTTGGCCTCCTTGACCATTGCGTGTGCACATATGTGCATGTGTACACATGCCCATTGTACATATTCATGTTTACTTGCCTGTGTAACTGTGTGGAGGCTAGAAGTTGACTTTGGATGTCTTCTTGTGTTATTCATTTTTTTGTTTTTTCAACAGGGTCCCTTCTCTAACTCTGAAACTCACTGTTTGGCTATGCTGTCCAAAAAGCCGCCTCGATTCACCTGTTTCTCTCTTCTACCCACAGTGCTGGGATGACAGGGCATGCCACCATGCCCAGCTTTTACATGGATGTTAGGGATCAAACTCAGGTCTTCATGCTCCTGAAACAAGTGCTTTACCCACTAGCCATCGCTCCAGCACCCACTGCTTACTTTTTGATGGCAAACACGGTCAGTCCAACTGTGGTGTTACGAAGCCTGAACTGCTCATTCAGTATGTCGATGTTGAAGGTCCCCTCCCAGATGATGGGAGCCAGCCAAGGAGTCAGGACAAGAACATCTTTCCTACTACATGAGGACAAAGTCACAGTCAACAAGTAACCAAACATGCCTGCAGGAACCCTTCTCAGATTCCACACCCTCAGCTGCCCCCAGGGCTTCCCACCCTCCCCAGGGGGGCCTGGCCAATCAGCAGCAGCTCTCACTGACTACCCCCACCCCACTCCACCAACCATTAAAAACAACTGAGTTTACAGCCACTGCAGCCACCACATCTCTGAAAACTGATGACAGAGACAGGAAACAAGGAGCAGATCCCAGATGGGAAATGACAGACAGGAGATGCTCTGGGCTCCAGACCTGAGTCAGACAAACCTCGGACTCTGAAAAGGTTGTGAACTGAGGGCAACAAGAATCACAATCAGGTATTTGGTTTTTTCTGGGTTTGGTTTTTTCTAGTGCTGGAGACTGGCCCAGGCCTCAGGTGTGCTGCTAAACTATCCCCACTGCAAGCAAATCCTCCTTTAGTACCTTTACAGCACTTCCCATGCACTGACCAAATCTACTCACCTGGGTGTTAGCACCTTTGGCTGGGCATAGGCCATCCTGCAAAAAGACAGCACCAGACTCAAGGTGACAGGAAGGTCCCTGGAATACATGTCACTGGCAGCTGTGCACCAGGCAAACAGACCTGCATGAGCAGTGGCAACCAAGCCACTGTGTACGTCCATGACCCTGGGAGCAGAGGATGGGCCGAAGCAGGAAGATCATAGTCTCCCTTGACATAAAGTAGGGAGAGGAAATCATGACACCCCTCCCCTTACTTAGGGCTGGGAGATCTAAGGACTACTTTAATACACAAGCCGGATGAGACTGAACATGTCTGTCCCTGGAAGATGCCGACCATCCGACCTGGGCCTGCAGCCTGCCTTGGTCCTCTCCTTAGCTGGTGGCACACAGAGTCCTGGCTCTCTGTCTCAGTCAGAGACCAGTCCCAACATCAGTGTGAAGTTCCCTCAAAAGGTCAGGCCCCAAGGGACAAGAGCCACTTCTGCTAGTAAGCTGCGTTCTAAGCCGGCCTGTGGAGCAGAGAGCAGGGCTGGAGAGACGCTCAGTGGTAAGAGCACTGGCTACTCTGGCAGAACAACGGGATTCCGTTCCCAGCACCTGCATGGAGACCCGCAACTGTCTGTGACTCCAGTTCCAGGGCACCTGAGGGCCTTTTCTGGACTCTCTGGGCACAGGCACCTATGTGGTACACAGACATACATGCAGGCAAAACACATAAAACAAAATAAGTGTTTTGTTTTTTTTAAAGGCAGAAAATGAACTGAAAAAAAAAGGGGGAAATGTTTGCACAGGGATATGGCATGATGACTCTTACTGAGTGAGTCTAACCCATTACCAAAAGAGAAACCCTACAGGGCCCCATCCCTGGGAGACACTACTACACAGTGGCCACACTCAGAGGAACAACACAGAGCAGGCAAGATGGGTGCCAGGACCCGCAAAAGGGCTGGGCAATGGGGGGTCGATGTTTGATGGACGCAGTTTACAAGATGGACAGTTCTGGAGATGGGTGGTGGTGAGGCTGCACCACAGCATGAATGTACCTACTGCACTGAGCTGTTGAAATGGTGAGGATGGTAAACTCATGTGTTTTGCATGTTGCCATGGAAAAGGGGTGTACAGCTGTAAACTCAGCTCTGTACCAGATGAGCCAGACTGGCTCTTTAAAAGCCAAATGACATGCAGTTAGTCAACACAAAGAGTGGGGCTGTGTTCTCCACTCCAGGTGCAGGAAGGGACTTCCCAGCTGCCCAAACTTACACACACACACACACACACACACACACACACACACACACACACACTCCTCCATCCATGCCCTTCAGCCCAGATCTGTAGACACCGTGTGAGGGCAGGAGGATACCTTGACAGGGTTACAACTTCCTGGTCATCCAGCTCTCCGACAGTCATGCTGTAGAAGGAGAACACAGGAGACAGGTTTATAAAAGGGATACCAGGGGGGTTTAGGGGTGAGGTACACAGAGCCTGGAGGAAGGGGAGTGGTGCTTAAGCGTACAGTAGGTCTGTTACAGTTAAAGAACAACACCATGATGATCACCCCATGCACTATGCCAACAACATGAAATCAAGCATTGCCATACCACAGATTCAAAAGTCAAACACTGTGGTCAAGGTTCACTGCCCCACACTGACCAGCCACTCCCTAGTGGACCCTGAGCAGAAAAGGAGTTCCAGAACACAGAAGATTCCCAGTCCCCTCCCATCAAGAAGTGGAGCCTGTTCCTGTCCTTGAAGAGATAAACTGAGGCAGCAGTGCCTGGATGAATTTAAACGCGGCTTCTGACAGTTTGAACTAACGTGCAATATGGTCACTGGTCTAGAACCTTCCAGCCAGGTGTAGAGGAAGCTCAGTCTACACAAGGAGGCCCCAGGGACGGGCACTTCAGCTGAGGGCCACCCTCAACCACCAGAAATGTGAGAGACCTCAAGGGAGACCCACCAAGTTCTGCACAGCGACCCCAGGGAGCTCTGGAGAGTCATCAAAGGTGTGACTGCCTCCCAACACAATGGGGGGGGGGGGCAGAGTGCTCTGCAGCCGTGGAAAACTGACACAAGAGGGAACTGGTGGGAACAAAGAGCAGGTGGGAGGCAGTGTAGTCTAGTGGGAAGCACAGCATAGACAAAGATCAAGGCCAGCCCCACTCAAGGGCATGCATGGCTGTGCAGGAATGCGGAGGAAAAGGCTGCCGGGGAGGGTCAGCAGGCAGGATCTGATTTCTGAAAGCCTCCTACCTTCTGTGCTGAAGGATCATTAGCTACTGTAAGGGAAATAGGGCTGAGACAGATGAACAGGCATGTGGCTGATGCAAGGCCACAGCAGGTCCAGGACAGCAGAGCCAAGAGATGCCTTCCCGAAAGGCAGACTGACAGGATCTGGGACTGTGTGGATGGAGGGACCTCCAACTTGGATCTCCAGGTAGAAGACAAAAAATCTTGCACTCAGCAGGCTGCTGGGGAGGTGGGTGGGGAACAGGAACTGTTCTTGGGGCTACCAAGGCAGGTAGAGAAGGGAGGATAAGGTTGAAGCCAGAGAAGACAACAGTGTTCCTGGAACACACACACCCTTTAGAGACAACAGGTGACAACTGAGATTGCTCTGTGTAGCCTAGGGTAGGACTAGACCCAACCATGTAGAGGTACAGGCAGAGGCCACAAGGCATCATGAAACAAAATAACAGAATGTTCATCCAGCCAGCAACTCATCCGCCATGCACAGACATACACACATAGGATACACACACATTTGACACACAAACACTACACACACAAACATCACACACACACAACACCCACTACTCACCTAGTCACAAGTCCTGGGTCTCCCAATTCCTGGCTTCTGTGGCTGAGGAACCCATAGCTGTGGGAAGAACATGCGCAGTGGCAACTCTTCATTTAGTACACAGACCTGAGACTGGCTGGCTGTTTCTCCCTCCAAAATGAATCACTGTACCCAGTGAGCACAAACTTCCCCAGTGGGGATGCAGGGCCAGGTGACAGGACTAAGTAAGCTCATCTCACTAGAAGAAGAGGTGGCAAGAAGGACCCTGGGGACAAGGCCTGCATCTGGACACCTGAAGCAGTTGTAGACAGCCCAAGACCGCACCAGGGACTACTGCCTGGCTGAGTCTGCAGAAGCCCCAGTAGACATGGCAGTGTCTTTACTCTGTGAATGTTCACAAACCATCTGCATCTAGAGAGGGCTGCAGTCCATCCTCCAGGCCTGCCTTCCTCTCCTTCCCCAAGTCCACCCTCACAGCTAAGGCCAAATGACTGGGCTACCAGCTCCATTTGTGGAATCAGAGGGAGACATCTGTCCTGCAACCGAGCCTGCCCTACAGGGACAAGCAAAAGCTGGACATGCCACTGTGTGAGTGGCCAAGAGCACCCTCGTCACTGCCATGGTAGTGGGGATGCTCACAGTCTCAGGGTCCCCATCAGGGTCTCAGGAGCTGTTCCTCACCAGTCTGGATTCTTACCCAAAGAAGACCAAGGCAAGCACTGTAAGGGGAAGGTTTCCAAGGTGAAGTGAGCAGCATTTTGGTCTTCCTGAAAAACAGCAACACAAGATCCACTTACTCACCCCCTTCCCAGACCTGATTCCCTTACAGGCCTCTCCTGAGACTCAGAGGTCATCCTGAGCACTGCAGCCACCACTGTGCCCTATCTCAGGCAGCCCCAATCCCAGCTGGAGCTCCAGCCCCACTGAGCACTCAGAGGGTAAAGAAGGTTGTTCACTTCCTGCTCAGGACTCCAGCTGCTCCCTTGGCCCTCAAGGTCACCTTTGGCACAAAGTACTCATGTCACTGAGCACCCATTCCTATGGTAAACTGAAATGAACCAAAATGAATACTTCAGGGTCACTGCTCCACCTCTGGCCCCTGTATGCTCATACCCACAGGGACAGCAATTGGTCTGTTCTAGTGACATTTTCTCATGCTGGGGTTGAAACCCAGGGCTGATGAGTGTTAGGTAAGTGCTCTACCACTGGACTATGCCCCTAATGCCTCAGGTGATTTTCATGTCTCTAGAAGCTGTGTGTTCTCATAATCAAGTTCAAATAGTCCTAAAAGACACATATGTAAATAGACTCATATGTGGGCTCTGGAGAAAGAGCTCAGAGGGTAAAGCTTTTGTCACAGCCACACAAGCATGAGGACCTCAGTTCAGATCCCAGAGCCTATGTAAATCCAGACATGTGAAATCCCAGCACTCCTGTGAGGAGATGGGAGGGGGAGATGTAGGGTCCCTGGAGAGTCACAGGCCAGCTAGCCTGCACACAGTGAGGAACAACAGAAGAGATCCTGTCTCAACAAGGTGAAAGGCAAGGACTGATACCCATGGTTGTCCTCTGACCTCACATGCACACCCACACTCACGCACTGTGTTCCTAAAGGTTTCTACTTAAAAAGGCTTACCTCTCCCTGTCCCAGTCCATTACTTTCCCCTCTGAACCACATGATCTGGGACTCTGTTTACTTTATTTAATTATTTAGTTAGTTGCATGTGTGTGCACCTGTGCATGCCTCAGAGCACTAATGGAGGTCAGAGGACAACTTGCAGAACTCAGTTCTCTTTCCACAGTGTCAGTTCCAGGGATTGAACTCGGGTCATCAGGATGGGCTGCAAGCACTTTTGCCCACCCAGTCATCTCATCTGACACTTCTTAGGTTTTCTCCCACGTCTCCAAATCCTCCCACAATGGAACAACTGATTTCTAAAAGCTTCTGGAAGCAATCAATGAGAAAGACATTTGAACTGTGTTTGTTCTCAGTATGTTCTCCTGACCCTTTTTATAGTTTCTAGTTTAGCTCTAGAGAAATTAATGAAAAGTAATATTTGCCCAATTTTGAAATATTTCCTACTTTTTAACTTTTAAAAACAGCTTCTTTGGGACTGAAGAGATGGCTCACCAAGTAGGAGCACTGACTGCTCTTCCAGAAAATCACCCATTCAGCATCTCATAACCATTGTTAACTCCAGTTTCAGGGGATCCAGTATGGTCTCAGGCATTTAACGGTGCAAAACATACAAGTGGTTCACAGATATGCATGCAGACAAAATGCTCATGTACATAAAAATAAAAAATTTTATTTTTTTAAAAAAGTAAAATGCCTAATGCATTAAAAAGGAAAAAGCAAGACATTTTTAAGGCAAAAAGTAATATGTATTCTTTTTCTGTTCTTCTCTTGTTTTTGTTGGTGGTGGTGGTTTTGTTTTGGGGGTTGGTTTGTTTGTTTGTTTGTTTGTTTGTTTGTTTCAAGACAGGGTTTTTTCTGTGTAGCCTTGGCTGTCCTGGAACTTAGTCTGTAGACCAGGCTGGCCTTGATCTCAGAGATCCACTTGCTTCTGACGCTAAGTGCTGGGATTAAAGGCGTGTGATACCAAGGTGCAGGTAAAAGTCGTCTTTTAAAATATAATTTATATCTAATTAAGTATGCCCATTTAGATATAGTTTGATAATCTTTGAACAAGGAAACCCCCTTGCTATGTATGTCCCCACATTCCCCTCCTCATCGACATAGGAGTCAGGAGACACAAATGCCCTCAGCCTGGCTGTTTACATAACACTATGCTGTCAATACTCATCACACGGTCATGTGTGGATTCATCATTCTTTTTTATTGCTTTTTTTTTTAATGCCCAAATAGTTCCAGCCATTTAAGAAAATGCATTCTTCCTGTTACATCATTCTAGCATTCTTCCAAAATTACATGGTGGGAGCTGGAAAAATTGCTCAGGAAATAAGCACACTTGCTACTCAATCACGAGGACCTGAGTTGGGATCCCAGTATGCATGTAACACAAGCATTCCTGATGAAAGCCTGCAATCCTGACTCCAAGTGTGTGTGTGTGTGTGTGTGTGTGTGTGTGTGTGTGTGTGTGCGTGTGTGTGGCGATAGAGGATCTCTGGGGTTTGTTGGCTTCCAGCCTGACTGAGGAAACTGAGCCTCCGGTTCAGAGAGAGACATTACCTCAAGGAATAGGTAGAGTGATAAAGGAGAATGCCTGCCTGATGCCCTCTTTACTTGCACCCCTGGTGTGCACGTGTGTGTGTGTGTGTGTGTGTGTGTGAAGAACTATTAAAACTGAAGAAATAAAAAAGGGATATGTGCTAGTTTAAATCTAATTGGACCGCATACTGTCATAGGGAGTGGCACTAATAGAAGATGTGACTTTGTAGGAGTAGATATGTCTTTGGTGGAAGAAGTGTGTCACCATGGAGGTAGGCTTTGAGGTCTCATATATGCTCAAGCCACACCCAGTGTCTCAGACCACTTCCTGCTGCCTGTGGGTCAAGATGCACAACACTCAGCTACTTTTCCAGCACTATGTGTTCCAGCAAGCCACTATGTCATACAATTATGATAATTGACTAAACCTCTGAAAATG